CACTTGGTTCGAACCGAACTCTCAGGAGAAAATTTTATGATTCAATTGAAAAGTAGATATTTTCACACATTCCTCTGCTGAAATGGTTTGGATTGATGGGTTATAATATCCAAGAATTCATAAAGGTATTTCAGAATTAATCCAATATCAATTTGTAATTTCGAGTGCCACCCGATGGAATATACTTCAGGAATTCTTGGGGAAATACCTTTCTACCGCTATTATGATCTGAATTTCACGGTTCAAAATCTGATTAGTTTGATTCATCAATGATAAACATTTTTCATATGCATTTATACTTCAAAATGAATAAATACACTTCTTCTGAAGAAAGCTCTCCACAGGATATTCCAATAGTTATTCCAAAATCTGTCAGTCCTGTGTGACAAACTTTCATAACATTGATATCTTTTTTTTCCTTCATTTCTCTGTGGCTTTTTCATTCTTCACGCGTTGGTAAAGATTAAGAACGGATTTTCCCAAGCAAAAGTGTTTCCACAAAGTTACTCAATCAATAGCGCAAATTTATTCTTTTACTCATTCATCCAATCGAATTAAGATTTCATATGAGTCATACTTTCTTATGATCCAATTTTCCCTCTTTTCTTCATTTCTACTTTGGAGTAATTATTTACGGATCTAAAATAGTTTCTAAAACTGTATTTATATACTCGTTTATAATATTTCAAATCTGGCTGTAAACTTCCCTAACTTCTGGATATACCCTACCTTCCAGAAGTTTTTTGAGTAATATTTTCTATGTTTCTTCTGATTTGATTAATTTTTTCAGCGGTCAACGTGACAGCAATACCTTTATGATTATAGCCAGTGACATTCCCGATCTGACTCACAGTAGATGATTTAGTGATTTTTCTGTAATGAAAGTATTATTCTGCCTGCCGATTTTTTCATCATAACAATTTCTCGCAATCCATATAAGAAAAAACTACGAATTATTAGCTGTTGATAGTACTAATGAATTCAATCTGAACAAGCCTCAAAAATATAAAAATATCTCAACAAAATCTTCTATCCATTCCTGATGGGTTTCTAAGAACACTATGAATGAGAAATAATTTGCATTATGCATAACAGTTTTAAGGCCACTCTTTATTTCCAATAGTCGATGAATATTCCATATTTTTACATGTTACGTTAATGTCTCGTTATATCACTGAAATATTAAGGAAACTATTTTCCACATAGGGGAAGCCTGGGCAAAACGAACGCCCTGGGTTAATGATCATACTCATCACATCGATGCCATAATATTAATTTGGACAAAGCAAATGGGGGCAAAGCGGATGGTACATTCTCTATTAGGCATCATCTATACCCGGCCATATTTTAATTACCATTTTTGTTTGTTTTGGAATGATTTTTCAGTTCAAACGAAAAACAAATCAGGCAAAATGGATAGATGTTGATCTGAAACGGGCCATGGATGCTGTCAATCAGAAAACCGAGAATATCACATCGGCAGCAAAAAGATATAATATACCGGACACAACTTAACAAAGTCATATGGAATCTGTTAAAAGAAGCTGGGAAAGTTCACTTCCATTTTCACCAAAGATCAAGAAGATTAGTTATCTAAATACCTGAAAGAGTTGGCTAGTTCATTCTTCGGCTTAACTCACACTGATTTCCTACAGCTAGTTTATAACATAGATAACCCATTCAAAAATGGAAAGGCAGGCGAAGATTGGTTTGCTGTGTTCAAGCAGAGATATCCTGATATAGCCAGAACGAGAGGTTTTAATAGACCACGGGTAAATTCATTTCATTCATTCATTATTTCATGCAACATGGACGAGACTGGTGTGAGAGCTTCAAAACTATCAAAGATTTTGAGCACAAAAGGAAAGAAATAAGTCGGAGTTATCAGCAGTGCTGAGAGAGGTTAGCTGACAACTGTCATATGTTGTTGTAATGCTGCCATTTTGAATCTTTGCACGAAAGCGAATGCAAGATCGGCTATTATACAATGCCCCTCCTAGTTCTGAAGCAAGTGTGAGTGACAATATGTGGGTGAATGGGTCAGTTTGCAAAACATGGCTTCAATTTTTCATTGAATTTGTTCGACCGAATCAAAATCAATATAAGTTCTGTAACTGCTTGAGAACCATGAATCTCATAAATATTATCTAGACTTACAATTAGCATCGTCAAACCACGTTGTCTTCGTCTCATTCAACCCGCACATAACAAACACAATGCAGCCACTAGATGTTGCAGTTTATGGTCCCACGAAGAAGTACTCCGAACAAGATATTAGTACTTTTCAGAAAAGCCACCCAGGGAGAATGATAAATCAATATGATATCGCCAAACTTTTTGAAGGGGCTTACAGGAAAATAGCTTCTGTGCAAAATGCTGTTCAAAGATTCAAAAAGCCAGGAATTTGGCACTATCCCATATTCCCAATGATGAAGATTATGCTCCATCATCTATGACAAATCGTCTACTAGAGGAAAATTTGTCACTGCACGATAATGTCTCTCCACGCCTCAATGTCATACCCCCCTGTATCGATATTCCACCAGTTAATGGCGTCTTGCACCAGCGTCTTGCATCAACACTATAATTCAAGAGACTGAAAATCTTGCAATAAAACCCGAAGAAAATGCAGGGACTGATAGCGTTTTCCCGTTTCAAGTTAGACCAATACCCATTATGGCTGCACCTGAATCAGGTCGCAAAAATGAAAGGCAAAAGAAGGAAATGTTGACGTCCGTTTTAATAAAGAACCAGCAAGCTTGCACGCTTCAAAATGTTAAAGAAAAGAAGACAAAGATTGCTGAACAGTACATTGATCAATCATCTGAAGACTGGATTCAGTTCAGCCAATGTACCAAATGGACTCATGAAAATTTTACCGCCTACAGAGGATTTGGTAGCTAATTTTGTGATGAGTGTGAATATTAATGTCGACTCGTTTTCCCGGATTGGGTATCCGTTGTACCCGACCACATCGGGTGAAAGTAACATTAATAACAGATACCAGACGTCACATATCATTAAAACTGCTTGTGAAATTCATACGTAGTAAAATGAAAGAAAACGATGTCATACTAGCCAGAGCAGATGAAGGCAACACTGTGCTATTGACCGACATGACTACGACTAATTCTTGCTAAAGACAACTGAACGATTTTCTTAAAAATTCGAACCTACTTTTTAATGAAAGGAAAACATTCAGATTACCTTCGGTGAACCCTCAAACTCCAAGATTGTACTCACTAATTGAACTGCACATAGTTTTTCGATTAAACCAGTAGTTTCGATTAGACCACTGCACCATCAGTAAAATTATCAGAAAGATTAATCAGTATCATCATGAACCATAGTAAATTTCAATCTAAATTCATTCTTCGGAATTCATATGTATGAATTAAAGAATATACCTAACTCTAACAGACAACGCAAAATTAATATCCTTCGATGTGCAGAACCTATTTCCCAGCATACCTCCTGATGATGCCATTACTTCAGTTCCAGAATTATTGGAGAAATAATCGAGTGAACCCAGTTATGAAATAGAAATCATTGAACGTCTTTCATTATGTCTTAAACAAAATTATTTTCAATTCAACAACATTTATTATGGGAAATCCGTAGAACCCCTTACTTGCGGAAATTTTCAAGGATATTGGATTTCAATAGATCCATTACTTAACTTATTTTCCTAGAAACAAACATTGTGCTATTGATGTAGACCTGTAATTCCTGAAAGAATCAATAAAATTAAAGAAAATCCTTTTTTTTTTAATTTCATTGGTTCTTTCAGGGATTTCAAGTCATTTTATATCGTATTAGACGATGGAAGTCCGAAATAATTAAATTCACCATCAAACATTGTAAACCACCTTTAACAAATAATGTAGAATTTATAATATGCACTGAGTAATCATAATTTAAGGGGGTATCTTAGGTATATGAAATTTGAGTAGATGCTTCAGGTGATTATGATCGAAAAAGTACCTGAATGGTGTCTCTTACTTAAAATTATGTGGGATATATAAAAATTAAAGTATATAATAGAAATAACTTGCAATTGAAAAAGCTACCGTAGTAGCTAAACATGTCGTATTATAGTTTTGAAAATAAAGTTTGTGAAGATCAAATCTCAAGGTGTAGTTTATGAAAAAGTACACAATTGAATTTTTTCGACTTTTTGTGTTATGATGTCAGTAACTACTTCGAAATACCATTGAATTTAATGGTTATAGGAGTTTCATTCGGTCTACAAATAACCTGTCTTTTTCGTGCTTTTGATTCATACCAAAACCTTATATTTTTCGACAGTTTGTCCCAAATAAAAAAGTATTAAGCTAGTTGAAATAAAAAGTGGTTGATCGTAATTGAATGTAGAGTAAACAGAACAAACACCCAGCAGGAAGAAACCAGTGAAAAGGGATTGGCGAAGCTTGTTAGTCCCTACCAAAATAACATTAAGTGATTTAAAGCCAAAATCATCCAAACGTCTAAATTACTGAAATTTTTTGTATCATCCCATCTCATGGCGAAATATTGCATAAAAAACATTTCGACGTAATATTTAGAGGGAATATTGACATAAAAAAGATGTCATGCTGCTATAAAAAAAGTTCTTCGCCGCATTTGAAGTCATAATTCGCAACACATTTACCATACCTTCATTTAATTCAAATCATCTGTACCGTTAAGCGATATACAATGTTTTCCCAATCTCCTGTTCTTTTTTGCTGTTGTGATTATTTGTTAGTTTAGAGCTGTTCTCATCATTCACTACGCTTTGAAATCGCATAAAAAATTCCATATACCTATATAACCAGAAATNAAACGTATATTGTGTAATACAATGATATTCTTTGTTCTAATTACTAGAAAATTAGATTTACACACTTCTACACATCTATGTAACATGTCAACAAATGTAAGATCCGACCCAACTCCCCGATTTATTTCCTAATTGCACCAAACAATGAATACTGACTTTGTCGAATCGTTTGTTGCAGGAAACTCCGAACTGGATCCATGTCCCAGCATAGCGACCTTCCGGCCAGGATCGGTGGCCTTAAACAGCGATCAACTGATGCCCGGAGATCGGATATACAGCGTGAACGGGATAACGACGTCGAGGATGCGGCCGGAAGAGGTTACCACGTTGCTGGACAACGTAGACGGCAATGCCATGCTCGAAATAGAATATTCATTGCCGAATTACGGTGAGTGTTTGGCCCGGGTAAATAGTCCAGTTCACATGTGCCTAACTTTTGAGTTCGCAAAGTTCAATATCAAACAGAGTAAAGTGTGAAAATTTTTAACGTAACGGCGATGACATTTCCTCTCAACCCTCGAATTACAAAGATAAAGAGGCTTCCCAAGTTGCACAACCAAGCTTCAACATCGACTGCCGATGAAATTCATCTTCTGTCTTTCACTGCATTCGATGTCAAAGATTGGCCTTGCAAATGACCGTCTTGAAGACTCTAGTTCGTCTTTGATATTCGAGGATTGAGTTCTCTGTCGATCCCATAGATGGTGTCTTTGTAAAGGGATATGCCATTGTCCTCACTGACTCAGGCTTATCCTTCAAGGACAGTTGAGCCCAACTTGTGGTTCAACCAACATTTCAGGTTAGAGTAGAGGGCTCTCTATCTAACAACAGAGGTATCCTCGCTGGAGTGCCACAGGGGGTTGTGTTCTCTCTACACCAATGACCTTCCGAGGTTCGAGCGTGTGAAGATATCTCTCTACGCCGACGACACGGCTCTCCTCTCATCTTCCATGGATCGGGAGCTTGGGATCGTCTACATGCAATGTGCATTGGACGACCTCGAGCGAACCCGGACAAGACTCAGGTGATAACCATGGGAAAAACGATATGTTCTCCGGCCAGAAAAGTGAGGATTTCTGGAAGGGAGATCGACTGGCAAGCGTGGGTGAAGTACCTCGTTCTTCTAACAGACGTAGGCTCACCTGGAACCCGCACATCACAACCGTGAAAGCAAAGATCGAGGGTCGGATCAAAAGTCTGTAGCCTCTGATCAACAGACGATCCAAATTGAACCTAAAAAATAAAATTACGATCTACAACATTATGTTCAAGCCTGTCATCATGTATGCTTCAGGCGTCTGGGGACAAGCGGCTCCGTTAGGGAAGCTATAGACTATGCTTTAGACAACCCCTTCCGATATGGAAGGCCCCGACACTCTGTGTCCCCCGTTAATGGATGAACAATTTCCTCATCCACTCACCCCAGCCAGGCAGGGGTTCACCGTGAAGGGCGGTACCGATGTCTGAGTATATTTATGCCGCCATCCCATGATCAGTTATGACAGTTTTGTCCTTCTGACAAAAACCACTCTTGAGGGTAAGGGAGCCAGGCTCCAACCTGTTCGAAATTAAGATGACTTTGGTCTCTGTGATTCAACCAAGCACCACTGATGAGACCTATGGCAGGTCAAAACAGCGTTGTTTGGTTTGATTTGACGCAATTCTAGTCTATCTCCATGTTAATGATAAAGATGAAATATCTGCTCGAAATAAAAGAAGTTTTTCGAGTTGAGGCCTATGATTAGGATCGTACAAGTCAAAAAGATGCTACAAATTCTGGTGCTTGTCTGATCAACATGGCTACCTAATGAAATTCAAAATCTATCAGGGTAACGAGTAGAAGTAGAAAGACAATAAGATTTTTTCTGTTTTACAATAATCATGAGAAAGAATAAGTTATATAATTACATATCCAGATATATGGAACAAAATCGAAGATTCCAGCTCCAGCAATTGCGAATAATTATAATGATGATATTTTGAAAGCTGTTATAATGTTAGATCGTCGGGCCAAAAATGGTGGTTATGTATTATATGATTTTTGTTATAGAGGTCGTTCAGTCTGACTTGTATAGTAAAATTTTGAACCTCTGGCATAAAATCAATCTATCGAAAACAATTCACCCACACCAGAACAAGAACACTGTCTCTAGACGCTCTGTCGCTAACCAAGTTAGCATCATAGCGGTATGACTAAAATTCGTTCGGTCTAACCTAATTTTTTCATAATCTGATAGTGCTTGTCATCCAGAATTTAATGGCAATAATTTAAAATCGATAGTATCTACCTTTATCTAGACACGCGACTTTGAAAGTGCGCATTTGTTGAAAGCTGGTGATGGGATGTCATGAAATATGTACGATTGTCTGTATAGCATCTGACCAGCGCCAGCATGTGAACTGTTATAAAGCAAAACATTCAATGTTCGACGTTCAAATGACGATGCCTTGAGTTCAGGAAAGTTGTATTGGGGAAAGCTTTGTCAATCAATTCACCTTATGGAATATTTTATTAGTACTGAAAAGTGAGCCAAAGTGTATAGATGTTTGAATTGAAAGGGTTATTTTTCATAAACTACACCTCACGATTTTATCTCCACAAACTTTATTTGAAAAATATATCGCGACATGATTCGCTAACACAATAGCTTTGTCAACAGTATTCAAATCACTGTTGATGAGGCTACTGTGTTAGCGAAACATGTCGTGATATATTTTCCAAATAAAGTTTATGCAGATCAAATCGTGAGGTATAGTTTCTGAAATTACTATGGATCTTCATCAAGTAACGGCCGAATCATTCAGAAAAATGAAAAGGTTATATTTTTAGGAGAGGTCAATTTTTGGGAAAGAAGGGTACAGAGTGGGCCAAATTGGACACTTTTGAAGGAAAACTCCTGTTTTCAAACTAGAAAGATGAAAACTGATGGATATGTTTGAGAGTCAAATTTTATGACAACCTAATGGTGAAAACCGCCTATCGATATCTATTATCGTTTCTGAGTTACAGCATGTTTTACGAAAATTTACATTTTCTTAAAGTTGTTGTAACTTTTTTTCTGTCAAAAAGTTCTTGTTTCTATGAAAACACTTCCAAAGCACTTTTTACGTAGAATTCAATGGTGTGAAAAACTTATTTTTTTAATGAGACACACTGTATATTCCTGCTTTTAGGTTTTTTTATGTAGACTTAGAAACGCACACTTCGATCAAGTAGACCAAACAGAAGGAAACTGTTGACAAAGATTTTCACAGCAGTAATTAAAATGCCTAATTTCAATAAAATTGATAAAACATTTATACTATATTTACTACTAATAAATGAAAATTCAACAACAATAATAATGATGAAGAATAAACAATGAAATACATTTCTTCAGAGAAAGTATTCGAAATGTATAAGCTTCTCATACACATAGGCGAGACCTTTTCCGAACGTTTTTTGCCGAATTAATTAGTTCAATAAGAGTGAGAAGCGAAACTTTGCATCATTGGCGCTTCCAATTCGTATCTTGAATTGGTCGGCAATTTAGAAATAAGAACTTTCAAATTCCTTCAGAGGTAAAAGTCCATGGGCGCTAGATCCGGTGACCTGGCCGCCCAACGGTTATCCAAGTATTATCAATATTTGCAGCCAACAAATTGGTGACAATCGCAGTGTTGTGAGGCGAAGCCCCGACTTGTTGAAAATATATTTTCCTGAGTGGCAATGAAATCAAAGGATGCAATCTTGCCAGGATCACCCTGGGCGACCCTGGGAAACTGGCGCCGTAGGAATATCTGGGGATGACCAGGAAAAATCTACGCTTAACAGTAGGATTTCTGACTGGCCACTGTCAACTAAAGAAACACCTCCATAATATGAGGCTAGTGGATACACTTCTATGCAGGATGTGTGAACAGGAAGATGACACTGTCTGGCATGTCTTATGCGAGTGTCCGGAGTTATCGTTAATGAGAGAGTGTGTGTTCGGCGAGTCTTGGCCTATACCTGCCGATATAAAGGAGATGTCTCCTAGTGACCTGTCCACCTTCCTGGAGAGGACAGGGTGGATGATGACCTAGGAGGACACCTCTTTGAGAGGATGTACAATGGGTCACATGTGGCCTAAGTGCTGTGGGCCTACACTCACCCTCCCTACTCTACAGATACAGATAGAGAGCTGGAAGTGTCACTATAAATCAACGGGCCGATAATTCCTACAGCTTTCCAGAAATCATTGACAAAAAGCCAAGTAGATTTGCATTCTGTTTTGTAGCCGCATCGTCCAAAGCCTACGTGATCAAAGTTTACGTTTCAAAGTCTACAAGAAAATACCTAAAAGTTTTGTATTTCGTAGACGACTCTAGCAAAACATCAAGTGTGTACATTTTTGGAAAGGTAATTTTAAGTTCTATTGAAGTATGAAGGAATATACATGCTGAAAACGATGATAGATATCGATATCTATCATCGTCATAAACTTGAATTTGTCATAAACTTTGACCACCAAACACATCCATCAGTTTTCATCTATCTAGTTTCAAAACAGGAGTTTCCCTTCAAAAGAAATGTTCAATTTGGCCCACTCTGTACATATAAATATTGAAATATAATATATGTAATCACGAATCAGAGATACAAATTGTACAATACTAAAATTTCACTTTTCTTGTTCATTAGGCAAAACGGCAAAAAAACGGATTTAAGCGTATTCCTTTGTCATAACTTCTGATATACGTGAAAAAAATGTTGGTGTTCCAGGAGAAGTTTATTCGAGGCTATATTCAAATTGGCACACCTTGTTTGACAGCCCGTCGCTATGGATAATTGATGACTTTCACTAAAAGTGACGCCTGACGTTGATTTCAAAAAAGTGGCCATTTTTTTATTTTTTGGACAATGTGCGACAGTATAATAATCACATAGCAACAAATGTTCATTAATCATACAGCAACCAAAGAACTTACAAAAATCGTACAGAGTCAAAGCCAACCAAAATCGATGCTTAAGTGTAATAATAATGATAATTGATTTGAAACGTATCATGAGTTCGATGTATCTTTATAGTGTTTTTTGTCTTTTGGAAAGTATTTAAATTTAATAACGTAAAAAATAATCTGACAGAGATTTGCAACAAAGGGATTGGAAGAGCGATGATCTGACGCTGTATATCTACAGCGTGAATGGGATTGCGATGTCGATGATACGGCCGGAAGAGGTTACCACGTTACTGGACAACGTAGAAGGCAACGCCTTGTTCAAAATAGAATATTCATTGCCGAATTACAGTGGATGTTTGACTCGGGTAAATAGCGGCCCGGCTTGATGTGTTTGTAAACTCTAAACGTCTGCTGGAATGAGGGAACTACAAATGGATTTCCACAGGGCATTCGCCAATTCGCGGA